GGGGGGGGGGGGGGGCTTCAAAAAGTCCCTCTTGGTGGGTTGGGGTTTATAATTTGGGATCATTTTAGGGTTTAGGGTTTAGGGGTTTTCGGTTTTACGGGTAGCGCTTTCCCGTTTCAGTACAGAGGGCCTTAACGACCGGAACCCGGTCTCTTTGAGCGTTTTGCATTTAAGGCATACATGTAGGGCCAGTCTGGAACTCTCAAGGTCTTAAGGTCCTACAACGGGCGGGTCTCTACGCCTATGCACCGTAGTTTATGGGCCTCTGCAGCAGGCTGGGGCTAATGCAGGGGGCCTTTGCGCTCTTAGGTTATACGAGCTGTTTTCCTATTTCAGGGGGGTTGGGGATTGAAGGGTTCATACTGCCCTTAACTTAAGTTCAGGCAGTGGGGGGCGTGGGTGGCTTGCGGATTGGAAGGTTTTTAGGGGTTCTAGGAGTCCGTGACAGTCCGTGCTTCTGACCCCTACTACACGGGCCTTATTGGTCTCTTCCAGCTTGTGCTTCACAAAGGGTTAGGGGTTTAGGGTGCACACGGCTCTTTGGGTGCTTGAAGGGAACGAGAAACTTCAAGGTCTCGCAGGGCTCGTTTTGAGAGTTCTGCATTCGTGGCTGGCTCTTGGACTTTGCATCGGGCTCCCATCACGCACGCGGCCTCCATAGCTACTGGGGGCCTGGAACTATCGAACAGAAACTGAGATAAAGAACCCGAAACCCCCTTGAAGACCAACACCCCTAAAGCCTAAACCCGACAGAACCCCAAGGCCCTGCAGGTTGCAGGGGTTCGAGCTGCACCCCCGCAGCTGGCTCAGAGTCGTTTAGTTAGCTGAGGGCACGCCTATACTCCCCGTCGTACCCATCAGAGCATACCGTACTCACATGTCTTCTCTCCTACAGTATCACCCAAAGGCTGTATCTTCCCGATAGGCGTGCCCAAGTAAGTAGATCGAAAAAGTCGGTAATTTGGGTGGTTCGGGGCTTGGGGGGCAGTAGATGGCACCGTTTGTTTTACCATCGATTGTATCAACTACATACTGAACAGGCTCGCAAGGGGTTGCAATCATTCAAGGAACCAGGGATTGTAGGCTGCGGAACTGCATGTTGCGAGAGGACTACTTTGTGGCGGCTTCAGACCCGAATGACGGGCTGAGGCAGTCGCATCGGCTGTGGATGCAGATCGGATCACTCACGTCTATTGCCAAGCTTGCACTGGCATAGAGAATGGAGACAACAGCTGGGGCAACATTTACGGCCCCCGCACGAACATATCTGGAGAAGCTATGAATAGCCTCCCACGTTTCTGAGATCCGGGCTCCTCGTTTCGCTTCATTGGGTCCAGCTCTAGGAATATGCAGTCCTTGCCCGCAGAGGGTTCGGGGAATTGAGGGGGCTTTACCGAACGGGGTAGGGCTGGATTTCGGAGGTCGAGCCTTCTGAAAGAGATGTGGCTCCAAAGCAAACGATTCCTAGGAGCAGTTGCAACGCTTCGATTCCCGGACATGGCTTGGCTGTTTAGCCAATTCGCATGCCGCTCTTCAATTGCAGTGCGAGCTGCGGCAAGGATTTCTGGTTCTGGCTCCGACGGCTCCGATGGTCAATGGATGCTGAAAGGGCTCTTCATTCGTTTACGGACGAAAGGCTGCCATGCATTTGTTGCTTAAGCGAGCCCAACACCTCCTTCTAGAAGCTACCCGACGGCTGAAGAGTTCTGCCTTCGATGCTACCCGTACCATCGTGGAAGCCTGTGATCCGGCTGCTTTCTTCATCGCAACTAATGGGGCCGAATCTGTGAAGTGTGTCCGGTCACTACTTCGTCCTCTTTCACGATGGAGCCGATATCGCCTGACAGTTCGCTCGAAAAGTTCACTGAAGGAGAGACTCCCCGAGCTACCATGGACACGTCAACCCGTAGTCCCAGGCCCAGGTCTCAAACAGAAGCGTTGAGGAAAACATCGTCTCGAGCAAAACTGCTCCACTCCCTTAAATGGAAACCTGATCTTCTGAGTTCTTCTACCACAGGACAAGCCACCATCTGCACCAAGTCTCCATCCGAAACACTACCTTGATATCCTGCAGGCAGCAATGGCAGTGGTACTTCGCGCCACTGCCATGGTTGTACCCTAAACTCCAACAGTCCGGGCTCGAAAGAGCAGTCGTACATCTGTCTGTCGGTTGGTCGGTCGGAAGGTCAGTCTGTTTGTGTGTCTGTCCGGCTGCAGGTTTTTCTTGTCTACTTGTTCCGAAGAATGAATCAGCCGAGAAGTAAATGCCGAAATAGGTGCACGCATGAACAGACATACGCTACCGAAAGGTGTAGGACGTGGGCATAATAAATTGAAGGCTGGGGTTTTGTTTCGCCTTATAGTGAATGTCCAACACTCACAACTCGGAAATGCCAGGCAAGGCTCACAGCTGATGTCTAGCGTCGAGGTCACAGCTTTGCTGAACCGTTCAGGGCTTCCGGATTAAGGGAATGTGAATACGACAACATTGGGAAGGCACAATTTCGCTCGCCATGCCACAGAGCCCCCTTCTGCGTCCAGGTTTCTGTCGATGGCCGTGGCCGTGCTTTGTCATACCCCTTCAATTGCACCGCGAACCATCGCATCACACAGCAGACTAGCAAACGCAGCACTCACTCGTGCTCGCCGAACCCACCATCCCTGGACTCCCAAACCGCCCAAACCTAGTACGTTACTAAGGGTTCAAGATTTTGGGGCTTTAGGATTTGGGCTTTATGGTCAAGGGTTCATGGCTTAGGTTCTGTTTGAGTACCATTCATCCCGGGGCACCTGTGTCGATGCAGTCGAACACTCGGTTCAAGTCGGCTTCAGAGGCCTGATCCAAAGTGTTTTGTCTTGCAGGGGGTTTCCTGCCAAGCTGAGTCTTTGAAATTTGGGATTAAAAACTCAAGGTGTTGGATTTCGGACTCTCTGCTTGGTGTTCATGAGCTGCAGCTTTGTACCGCAACATCGGGGTTGCAATTTCAAGGCCGTTTACCTCCAGTCACAGTGTGTTGTGTCTCCTTGCAGACCTGACGTTGTGCGTTTATTGTCTCTGTAATGTCGGTTTTTGTTGGCATAGTTTCGAGGTATAACATAGTGCAGTCATAAGCAGGAAGCCTCGGGAATACTAAGGGCAATTCAAGTCGTTGATATTATGTCTGTCCCTACTCTGCATTGCACGGCATTCAAAGCTAACGTCTTGTAGCTTGAGCCACAAGCTTTATAACGCCCTGGAGGCTCCTGAATCAAAAAATGCGGCGCAAACATAATCGATATTCGGGGCTTAGTCTAGTTGGCTTCAGATTTCCTGTGCTGGGACCTATGGCAAAAGCACTAAGTTCAGTGCAAAGGGGCTTGAATTTACGGCTCAAGGCTACCCTACACCCTGGATCCAACGTAACTCGAGGCCTTGAAATCGCGATTCACGCAGAAGGAGACGAAGGTGTGCCGCGCCACCTCGACAAGGGATGTTGGAACTTCTGTGACTATGTACAGAGGTGCATCAATCCCGAAGCCCATGCCCGAAACCCCAACAGGCGCCTTTCCCTTCTTGTTGGCGTCCAAGGCAAGGAAGAAATCTGCCGGGGAGCCAAACTCTTCCCTGATCCACCGCCTCAGCCGGGGATCTCGGGCTTAGGGGGTTCAGCTACAGGGCTTTTTTCCTCTCGCATGGCTGATTATCTATGCCCACTAGCGAGGTTGGACTTGGAGGAGCAAAGTTGGAAAGTCTGTACTAGACGAAGTTGATCAGTCCATGAAGGCTCCTAGCCCTATTAAGCCAATAACCTGCATCACGGACTAGATCACTATCGTCGCCTAGGAAATGTCATTCTCGCTATGGAGGATTTAGGGTTTAGGGGTCTGAAGCAGAATCCCCTTATCGCAGCTCTGAAAGTGCACAGTACAGCTTCTTTATACACTGGTATAGGCTTTGGGGGCCTTTGATACAGAAGTATCCCTTGGTTCCTGAGTAGCCCCTTTATAATAAGGGTACCCTTTTTCCTACTATTCGGTTTTAGTAGGGGTGCCCTAAAATAAAAAGGGCAAAAGGGTACTACTCAGGGACCTAGATCCTTCAGCATTACTACGGTATACGATGCGTAAGTCTACGCAGTTCCAATGAACAACGAAACCCCCTAGAGTCTCGAAGACCCAGCCCGTGTAGGGCTTCAGAGTTGAAGGCGGAGGGCAGCCAAAACTTCCATAGCCCCAAACTTCTCGCCTTAGGTTGGGATCCCTTTAAGAAGGTACCAGGCCCAAAAAGGAAAGGAAATGGCTCTTCCTGACGATTTAAACCCATACCACACGAGATTTCTGGTTCTCTGAACTTTCGAGACTATCTGCACCGAGAACTTGCGTCCCAGCCTTACCCAACATGGCTCTGAGTTCGAACATCTTTGAAGCTTCCTCAGGGAGACCGTACGCCCCAAGCCCTAAACCCCAACAATAGAAGCTTGAAGATGCTTTATGGGAACCAAAAGGACCTGCTAACAAGGGGCACTGAGAGGTGGTCTGTTTTCGAGAGCCACCCACATGGACATGGTTCGTGGCTTTGTTCGCCAGGGGGGCGTTGCTATGACTGTTAAGATCAGCCTAAAGCTCTAAACTCTTGTGCAACTGGCCTGCAGCGACTTCCTGCCAGGACGAATGCTCGACCCTTTTTGTGAACCCGCACTGAGGCCGATGCGCGTGAGCGGAGAGAGCGTTCTCCGAACAGCCCACAACAGCAACGATGCGACATGCGACGCGCAAAACCCCCAAACATGCCGGTTTGGGCTCCGGGGTGTTTGGGAGTCTGGAGTCGGGACTTGGTTGCGAAGTGCTCTCGTGCTCCGGTTTTCGGTGGTGGTAGTAGAACTTGCTGGGGTTTCTTCCGCCTGATCGGCACTTGGCTTCAGGGGGTCAGCAGTTTCAAGCGTTTGGAGCCTTGGATGTCAGTTCCCAGCGTCTCCGACAGCAAGGCTGTAAGCAGCCGGCATGAAGTTGTTCATCAGCTTTCCTGGCAGACTGTGCAGGGCTCCAGCTTAAAAATGTGACCATGAGGAGTGCAAAGTAGCACCCCTACGCACGACAGCAATGAATGAAGATCTCACTCGTGTTAAAAAAATAAATAAAGTCGGACAAACTGCAGAAGTAGCAGACTTCTTTGAGGTGTGGTGTTTGAGAGGTCCCACAAACCCTTGACCTTTAACCCGTAAGTTTCAGAGCTCTAAAGTACCCCTCATGGTAACCTTGTAGTAGGCCAACATACTTGATTTTCCCTGTTGCCCTTGCTTTTCCTTCCTCTTTGCCAAGTCTTCATGCTGCTGCTTGTCGAGGGAGAAGGCGCGCTTTTTTGACACTCACACTCGGACAAAGCGAGGCAAGGTCTGCAGACGATCCTTCGCGCACAAAGATTCAAGCAGATGGCCTATTCGCCCGCCAGCCCTCATGGTACCCCTCATGCTAATCCCAACCTTTAAAGGCAACCCCCAAAGAACCCCGTCGTCCTTCTTTGTTGGCAATCTCCATCAAGGAGAGGTGGTCCAGGTCCTCGGGGAAGGGCCGGTGGAGACCCCTGATGGATGGGTATAGCGGACTGTATATTTAGGGACGCGTAGGCGCCTTTTCGGGGATGTTGCTTTTGCTAACTCTTCAGACAAGTCTTTACCCTAGGATCTGTCCGTATTCAGGTCTTCAGGGCACGCGAAGACAAGCTCTAAAGCCTTAAGCTTACAGACCATCTTATGAAGGGTTACTGAGAGCTTCCATCAGGGTCATGCGCTCCATAGAAAAGATGGAGACAGGAGGGTCTCCTGGGGCCCAAGTCTCCCAAACGATTAAAAGCAGAAAAACATTCGAACGGAGGTGCTGAAAAGACCACAACTCGAAAGGTCGGTGTTGGGCTTAGGGCTTGAAGGGTTGTTGAGGATTCTTGAGGGTGTGGGGCCTAAGGCGTGTGAGTTGTGGGCTTGCGAGATTGGGGTCGAGGGATGAGGGCTTCCAGAACGCCTGCCTAACTGACTGGCGATGCAGCTTAGCATCGGGTTGCTGTTAGGGGAGCTTCTTGAATGTTCACGTGTCATAAACACGGACAAGCCCATGGCTTGCTAGATGGCCCTGCTTGATGCAGCATTGACCCGTGTGGCAATCTGAGTTCATCGCGAGGATGTTAGTTCTGTTCTTCTCCGTTTACAGAATATCTCCGTGCACCATACAGGGGGGTGGACGAGCGACTTCGCCTGTCCCAAGGCCTCAAGCGCTCTTGCCGGAGACACTAGCCGACAACCCAAATCCTACCCTAAACCCTCCCCCCAAATCCTGATGGTTGCCTTCTGTCTGAGTCCCAATTTGTCTGGCTCTGGGGTCATCGCGCCATCGCCCCCGAATAGGGCATTGATATCGCCGACCCAGCGCCACTGCCTTGTCGGACTGGAACGGTTGAAGCTTGCGGGATTTTTGGGGGGGCTTAGGGTTTGAGGGTTCAGGGTTTTGCGGATAAGCGTGTAGGGTTTGGTCCTTGCTATACCGATCCGCGTGCCTCTGCTCCCAACAAGACGATACGACATCCTGATCACTCACCCCGTCGACCCTCTGGGAACATGACCTGATGCCTCGAAACCTGAACCCTGCACTACACTACACCCTAAACTGCTCGAAATCCTAAACTTGTTTAATGAGGCCTTTGAGCCCTTGTCCCGGTTCTGCGCTTTTTGGGCTTAGGGCTAGGGGTTGGGAGTTCTGGAGTTTGGTGTGTCTGTGTGTGTGTCTCTGTCTCTGTGTGTGTGTGTGTATGTTTGTTTTGACATTGCTTGTTTACTGCTGGTACTGCTGAAATGTTGCTGATTGGCTTCTAGCTGCTATTGTCATGGATGGAAAAGCAGTCTTATGAACAAGAACAAGCTTGTTCGACCAAGCACCACGGCGCGTACCTGGTCGTATCCCTGTTTGACCTGAAGCTACGGACCCAGAATGCTGAAGAAGATGCCCTGTCACTCGGCAGAAGTCATCATAGTCGACCTCGCCCGGAAGACAAAGGCTGCTACAAGCAGAAGCTCTAGTAGATGGCATCGGCAGTACAGAGTTTCTGTTCCAGATGCTGCTATGTCCTGATACTGCTACTGCCACAAAGGTCCACAAAGGGCAACTACTTGAATCCCGGTCTGTGACATCGTCTTGCTCCATTTAAGGCGGAGGCCTGCACCCCCCTGAAACCGCCTCAAGTCTCAAAACAATCGAATGCAACCCCCCTCAGCGCAAACAAGGCTCAGACAACAGAAGTGATGCAACTCTCAGAGCCCTTGGGAAATTATCGCGAACGCTGTAGTCGTAGGAAGTGGTAGTGGTTGTGGAGTTGGTGGGGTCGGTGGCGTTGTTGGCGGCGGTGTCGGTGGCGGAAGATACAGTAGCATGAATTATGGCAGTCACTGCAGCAGCGGAAATAGCATCACCCACAGCGTTAACCCTGGAGCCCTTGCGCCTTCTAGCTGAACCCTGGCTGAGATTGCACGAAGCATGGGAGGTGAAGGAAACAGGAAATCCGGATGTGAGTGCTGAGTAACAGGATCCTTATCAGAAGGATCCCTGCACGACCCTTGTAATTTGCAATCTTCTTGCAACCCCAATTGAGACTCTTACAAACCTTGTAACGGAAACGTATTGGACACCAACTCTAACTAGGAGTCCTGCACACGCTTGTATAACATTGTACAACCTTCTCAAGACTTACAGACTCGTCATACGCGCGCATAAAATGCTTAGAACATGATGATACTCCCAGAAACCTTCTAACACCCCTGAATCCTGCAACAAATCCGAAACCTTGAATTGCAACAACTCATTCTTCACAACCTGTCAAATCATCCCGGAACCCTGAACCCTTTTTCCCACTGGGGCTCAAGTCACTAGCTAGCTTCCAGCCACCCCCTGCCCAAACCCCAAACCGTCTGGTTTAGCCTCGAGTTCGCCTTGGGGATCGAGAGCTTGCCTTCCCGACAAAAAGATTTTTTATGTACATGATATATAACATTAAATGCAACGAACACAACATGTGTACATATACATATATGTGTAAAAAAACACACACACACACACACACACACATATATATATATCTCTCTCTCTGTGTGTGTGTATGTGTATACATAAGTAATATAGAAAGGGACCGGGGAGGAAGTGGGGGGTGGAGAAGGGAGTTTACAGGGGTTGGGGAGTCCAAGGGGTCCGCGGGAGGACGTAGCCTCAACTTCTACCCATTCCCTCGGGCTAGGCTTTGCTTGTACCTCCTAGGTTGCGACCACCACGTGAATATAGGGTAGAGCTCTGAAAGCTGTAAGTTCTTGGCGTTGGTTTGGAGTTAAGGCTCACCCAAATTGCCAGACCGGCTGCTGACTCAGACCTCTTGTGCTCCGAACTGCAACACACCAGCGCATGAACAATGAACTAGGTCACTTTGTTGGGCTTACATGAGGTGTACAGTCCCTGTGTAAGCACAGCCCGTGAGACCCCAAAACCATCGACCACCCGCTAGCGCAGAACGACAAGCCCTGCGAAAGTTCTGCGAGTCTTCGAACCCGAAACTCCATACCCGCCTCCAGCCCCTCATCAAGCCTCAGTTGATGGGGGAAGGGTGTATCAAGAAGTTTCTCTGGGTTTTAGGGCTCGGCAAAACGAGAGCTCCGTGGCCTACCTATCTTGCACCTCGAGTCTTATGCCACAATCTTAAACGAGCATTCAGCTTTGGGGGACTCCATGGTGTCGTGCCAGGTGATCCCCAGATAAGGAAACCCGAACACATCCTACGCTATTGAGTTTCTGCCAGTAACCCGACTAGACCTGTCTCTAGCAACGAAACCCAACTGACGTGTGCTCCACCAAAGAACTAAAAGTACATCCGACCTGCCTCCAAGACTCCAAGTCCACCGAGTGACTCTATACTAGAGCTGATTGCGGAGAAGAGCTCTTACGGTTGAAGGTTCAGGATCGACACAGCGTCGTCGCGATGGCCCCACACCAACCCATCACCGCTCTTTCCAAACATTTCTGAAACAAATTATGCCATGGCCTTGCTTTCCTATATACCCACAATGCTCTAAAGCCCTTTAAACGGACGAAGCCGCAAATGTGCTGTTCTTGTCGGCACCCAGGAGAGAGGCCCAAATACTTCATTAGGGTTCTGGGTTGTCTGGGTTCAGGGTTGCCGAAATAGATAGACAAGGGTAGTTTATTGGGCTTTCAACACGCAAGACATTAACCTGCACAGAGACACACACACATGCATAAATGCATATGAATATGTGCGGTCCGGTAAGTTCTTCCAAAAATGCTAATATGCCTACGTGGACTGGCTCCGCAGTACTTGCATGCTGGATTCGTCCCAAGTACTCCGAGACTGACCCGCTGTAACACCTCTCAACAAGGGGGAGCGTATAGCTTCCTGAAAGGAAGAACATTGAAAACACCCGACAAAGAGACTGGAGAAGGCACGATATTGAACAAGCCCCTCATCCAACCTCATAGAAGACGTGTGAAGTCCCTTCTCTAGAAACCCCGTAAACCAAGCTAGGCCCACTTTTAAGCCCATCTTCAACCCAGTCAGTACAGAAACGACACAACACGCCCACTCTTCTGTATATCGTATCCTAAACTTGTCGCGTCGCTTCCGCCCCCTGCGGCCGTGATGAGGTCGATGAGTTCATCCCGTTCGCTTCGGAGTGTGACTGGACGGTGAAGGGCTTAAAGATTTCAGGGATTCATTTAAGTCAGGTTGCTCAATACCCTAAACTCCAAACCACCTCTCAAACGCACCGGGCGTTTCTTCATGAGACTCTTGCCACTGTTCCTCTAGCTAGAGCCTTGGGCTTTGGCTTCGGCGCTGCGAGAGGCAGAGATCTAAGAGCTGGCTGCGGGGACTCCCGAATCCCTCACTTCAAAAGATGCAGTCCTTCATTCAATACAACTGTGGTTCTATCAGGGCTTTTCTACCTACGGATTCTATTCACGGTATGCTTGAAACCTAAATTCTTGGACCTGAACCTTTTGCAACTGGCCTGCAACCACTCCGCCAGGTTCAGGCAGGAAAAGCATCTTCAACGCACTCCCTTCACAGAACTTAACCCTACCATCCCAATACACCCGAATTCGCTTCAAGCCCCGGCTCTAACAGGGAGCAAGAGAAAGAGCACGAGAACTTGGGGCCCCGACCATCGGAACTCTGATGGTTCGTCATTCGCTGGACGCCTGTACGACAGGAGGTTCCCCGAACTTTTAGGTTTTTGCTCCCTGGTTGGTTAAAAGGAATGGGGGAATGGGTTATACAAAGGACCTCAAGGGACGGTACCACAGGGATCCATTCCCCCAATCTTTACGTAGAACCGGGGAGTTTAGGCTGGAGAGTTTCCGGTTGTGGCTTCTCCCTGGATTTACGAAGTTTTCGCCGGAGAGGCGGGTTCCGCAGTAGAGTGTAACCTGCAGGCTGTATAAGGCTTATAGGGTTTTAAACACCTAAGTATGTCTTCACTGTCCTGAAGACAAACAGAGAACCCTAAACCCTAAACTGTAGCAGATACTTATCTACTTATCTACTCGAAACAGGGCTCGGCCTCAATGGGATGTAACGCCAAAAGAATAACACAGTGGAGTGTATCAAGCAAATTCAATATACGAAGGCTTTTGATCTGTTTAGGGTGAAGAGTTCAAAATGAGCACGGCCGGCCGTCTGCAATTTAATTTGCCTTCGAATGCTCAGTTTCGACACGGGACCTCTATTTGGCTGTTTGAGCCCATGGCTGTCTCACTAGGAACTGCCATGCTGCAGAGCACAGTGCTCGGCCTCTTCGAAGGTAATCCTGTCCATACTTCTCCTTGCCGTTGCTCTCCTGGCCCTCGGCGGTCCTGCTCGGTCCCATGCTAATGCCAGGCTTGTGCTACCTGAAGAAAACTGATCAAGGCTGCAAAGCTTATGTAGGGGCCCCAGGACTTTAGATCGGACTGTTGTGCGTTGCGTCGTGTATGGATTGAAAAGTCTTTTAATGGCAGAGCTTGAGGATATGTCACATTACAAAGACCTAGGTACATGAGGGTTTTCAGCGAAAAAAGCCCGACTAGCAGAACACGCTATATCCGTGAGACGTGACTTAAATGTAAGCTTGGATCGCTGACGGGTTCAATTATAATGTTGGACTTGGATCATTGCAATACCAGCACAGTGAAGGCCTCCATCTTGCGAGTAGTGCGCATGCTAAACCCTCAATCGCTAACCCCTTCAACCTGCACCGACTAACAGAGGGCAAGCGCAGCGAGCTCTACGTAATTCTCCCTAACTCAGGGCCTCTTACAAACAACGAATCAATACTCGATGACTCTCTCTCTCTCTCTCTCTGTCCCTCTCGCTCAGTCACACAGAGCAAGTCCACAAGTGAAACTACTCGTCAGCAACCCTTTCAGCTGGGCAACGTAAAACCTCTACGCTGGCCCAAGTTTTCATTGTAAGCTAGTGGCTGCAGAGTCCTCCAAATTACCAAAATATCTGGAAAGTGCTGCCGCCACCTCTCGCTACGTACGATGATGATATATGTCGTGGTGTATTCGATGGGATTTGGTACAGGGGAGTGACAACTGGTCAACATCTGTAATAAGCAGAAGGCAGGAACTACAGCGTCGCGCAAATCGCGGGTCCGGAACGTAGCTAACCTGTCCAATCAGGGTCTTCGGGTCGTCCCCCCTCGCGGTATTCCAGGATACATTTGTAAGCTACAAGAAACCATGTTCATGTCCACAGTCTTCTTGTTGTAGAGCGGCGGCAAGTCCAATACCAATATTGTCTTGTTGGCTTTGGCTCTTTCGAGCGCATTGAGTTGGGATGTATGTCGTTCCAACGTGCACTGCGTCACTTCAAACTCAAGCTGCGCCATCTTGTAAAACTGATCACAGCAAAGGTGCAGCTGATCCAGTGAGGGAAGAATAATTTCCTGATAGTGTTGCAGCATAGCCTGCTGAGCATTTTCCTCGGCGGCAATGTTGGGGATGGCGCGTGCTGCCACGCTCCCAAAATCTCTCTTCTTCGTAGTGGCCTGCTCCGACCACGTATCAATCGAAGGGTTGTACGTAGCATCTGTCTGTTGTGTGGATAGCCAAAAAGTCGCGACGGGAACTTCTAGAAGATCTGAGCTTTGACTGTAGTTCCGGGTCCAGGTCAACGAAGTTGATATCCAGATCAACTAGCTTGGCTTCAAACTCAATCATGTCCTCCTCGTTTCTTTGGTGGGGAACTCGGCGAAGCTTTGGCCTTGGCCCGTTGGCCTCTTCTTTTTGTTTCTGCCATGCACGGAAAGCTGCTAGCTCATCTTGTGCAATCTCTGCGGCAGGCGCACTGGGCGCAGGCAGTGATGGTTCAAAAGTCTCCGCCTCTGGCGGCGGTGGAGCCCTCTGCGCCTGGGGTCGCTTGGAACTCCGGCGCTTCTTTCTTTGCCATGGCTGCGTCGGCCGTGGCTGTTGAAACTAGGAAAAGCTTACGGGGAGGGGCACCAGCTAGAACACAACAGACCTAAAAGAAAACACGATGTGAAAAGAAAGTCGGGCACGGGACTGCGGAAGTAAAGTCCTAGTCCAAGCTGTGAAGACTGCAAAGCACTTAGGACCCTTCTCCGTGCTTGTGCGAAGCGCCTAATACTCGATGAGTATGTTGCAGAATTCTAGAGCCTCTAGAGGATGGAGGAGTCTCCGAGGTGTGTTGGAGTCCTTGGCACCGGGGAATCCTGAACGGTAGTGGCCTGTATGATGCTTGCATACACTTCTACCCCGAAGCCTTAAAGCAGTGCTGGAGAAGCAGGCGGCACACACAGAGTCTTTTCGCCAAAGAAACCCAAATCACTTCTTAGTCTTGGCCGCGACCATGAAGCCCATGAAAATGACAAGTATGGACAAGGCGAGGATGAGACTCAGCGTACTGTGTGGCAGTGGCACCGTCAACGAAGATGCAGCAATCAACGATGAGAAAGTTGGTGACTCTTATTTCCTCGAACTTAAGCGTCTGCACATTACAAGTAAAGTTGCTCCGGGTACATTGGTCTGCTGATTGTACCCTCGTTTCTCCACGACTGTTTCCGATGAGTCGCGGCGGGCAGAGTTTCTTCTGTTGCCTCTGGCAAACCCATTTGGGTTCACAGGCGTCACTACTTGCTACCTCTTCCTCCGGCAGCAAGAGAAGCTGGACCGGGCAGGTGGCTCTTCCACAGGTTTCGGTGGCTCAACCACCTTGAGCTCAGGTTCCTCCGTGTCGAACTTGTCCCACTTCTTCTGAAACGTATCGAACGTCGTCCGCTTGCGAATCGAGGTGGTTGGCCTGGCCTCGGCTGAACTCAAGAAGCTTGACACAAGAGACCCATGCGACTCCAAAGGAGACAAGAAAGCAGGCACAAGTAGACATAATGACAACATGAACACAACAAGAACCATCACTACGAGGGGCTCACTGCAGTTTCTCTTACAGCATAGCAAACGCTTCTCAGTACCCAAAAGGCCATACCCATACCAACCTTCTTAAAACGTGCTGTTGCCAACATGAATACTTTGATCGACCTGAAATTGGAATTGCTTGTCTGTAGAAGGGCTTCTCTTCAAGCCCTCATAAAGAGACTGCAACCGTGTGACGCGCTCAGTGTCAATATCTCCATGTTAACTCGGCATATACTTCCTTAACATGCTTCGTGCAGTCATATGAAGAAGTACAACAAATGAATGATGCTTTAGTACCGTGTACTTTGCACACGACCAGTGCGGTTTCCGTCATCCGTGCCACCCGAAACCAAGCACTGCTACCCTATAGCAAAAGTCGTAATAACCAGCACCTCTTGCCCTAAATTAAACCCTGCCCAAACTCCCAAAGCCTAAACCTGTTTGCCGACAACCAGCCGTATTACCCAAACCATTACCCAAACCCCTACACCCCAAAATTTCCAAGTCCTAGTACTCTAAGCTCAACCTTAAGCGGTAAAAAGCCCGCCTGGGGCAGCTCCTCTGGGTTGTCGATGCGCTGGGGCGAGGGAGCCTCCTGCGTCTTGGGTCGGGCGTGGTAGTAGCCTTTCCTTGGCGAAGGAGGGGGTTGGGGCTCTTGGAGCGTCTAAATTACCAACATGTGGGTCCTGGTCCCGTAGGTCCTGCAAGTTGAGGTGCATGTTTAGCGTTGTCGCCCTTCCAAGGGTCGGGCACGCTAGGCACTACGTAGGATCCTTCGTGCAAGGACCCCTGAAAAACCACCCTTGCCTTGGCGAGGCAAGGGGAAGCAGCGAGGGTTAGGGCTGGAGCGTTTAGGGCTCTGAGTGGCCATCTCCACGGCCGAGTGGAGTCGTGAGGGCTGCGCACATTAGGGGTCCCTTTGTCTCGGAAGCCACCAGACAGGGGGGGGTCGGGCGTTCAGGGATCGCAGGGCATGCCTCATATCCGCAAAGAAGAGCATGAAACTGAAACCGGAAACATCCCTAAACCCTACCCTCAAGTTCCAAAAACTCTTAACGCTAAAGTAGCCGCTAAAGATTGTGCTCCAAGGATCTTCGAGACTTCCGCCAAAGCTTTCCGCTCTTCCTGCATGTGGAAAGTCACCACCACATGCTCCCCAACGCTTAATCTGATAACAAAGAACCTATACCGTACACCGTCGCAACAGTCACTATGAACCCTGAGCCCTATAAGCCCCAAGGATAGACTCCCATGCGGAAGCCGTGGTGGCGGAGTCACCGCCGGCTTTAGGGCAGAGGCAAGATGACCCTGAAGCCCTACAGCCTACATCGTTAACCTGCTACTGTTCCCTTTTTGAGCACGGGCTTGGATTGTATGCCGGCAAGATGCTGTGCCCTAAACCCTAAACTCTAAACCTACCCCACGACAGAATACGAACCCCCAAAACCTGAAAATGCCCGGGCGCCGGAGCCTCGTCCAAGTCATCTGTGTCTAGCTGACTGGAGCAGTCTTTCAAGCGGATCAAGGGGACATCATACCTCAAGGCGAGGATGATGTGTTTTGCCGAGGGGTAAGCAACATTGTAAATCTGCTTTATCCGGGATACTGATAGTTCCTGCATGATCTCCTTGCTGCTCGTGGGAAACTTGAACGGAACTCCTTAACACCAACCGGCGTCAACTGGCTCACATTCGGCCATGTCCCACAACCCTGCAGAATCAAAGCCTAGACTCAGAGCAGCAACAAGGGCAGCACCGAAAATGACAAGACCTGTTTGTAAGGGGAGCCTCGCGCAAGCATGACGGCAAGCCAGTTGAGCAAGATTTTGCTGATTCAACGTCTTCCAGAGTGCCGGAAGCTGTGAGCCCAGGGATTCGATCAGGCTCTAGGCTCTAGAACTAATTTAGGGTTTCGGGCTTCAGACTTTCCAAATACAGGGGTTTAGGTGTGAAGTCTGCAGCAGCAGCCTGTCCTACCTTAAATTCCAAATTTCGTCGCCCCGGGGCTTCTTGGTCTCCTCCTCATCGGCCATGGGCGCCACCAGTTCCCAACGTTACTTTGGGCCAGGTCTTCGTCAGCGGAGTTGGAGTTCGGGGTCTTGTGGAGATGCCGCAAACTACAAACTGCCGGGGAGAGGTAGGGCTGGGTCTAGGGCCCATATTTCACTTTGCTATTACCTTGAGGTCAGAACATTTTGGCCCGTTCATGTCGGTTGCAATGGCCCAAGAGTTTGCGATATTGATATGATGATGTTTCACGGTCGACGGGCAGATATGGAATCAACCTGGAAGGAGCCTACCTTTCCAGATGGAAAGCAAGCCCTTCAATACTGCGACCTCTCCGCTGGCACCAATCCCAAAACCGTACATCCGGCACCCAAACCAGCAACTGTGAATCCTGAACCCTAGACTAGGAGCCCAAACAAAGAGGTAAGTTAG